ACGCACTTCTTAAGAATATCCATATGACAAATATGAACATGATCACAGCTACTTTAGCCTTTAAGTATACACGCACGGTCACACAGCAAACATTAGATTCAATAACAATCAGAGTCTGTATCATTGTGATATATGGTTACATGTCTTTCCAGAGTATATTGACCTTCAGATATGAGTTATTCAACGTCACGATGAGTGACGTAACGTCATATTTACCTCCAACATTAACGCCTTGTCCCTTCAGTTTACACGAGGATAGCTCAGCGTTTCATATCGACCACCAGTACTCCAAGCCAGACTTATTTAAGGAAAGCATAGACGACTAGCTTAGAAAAGATTAACCTACATGCTTGCACAGGACATGTCATAACAAAGTGGGTACAGCAGTGTGACGTGAGTTCGTGGCATTTGTACAGAGATAGGAAGCAACAGTGTGTCATGTCTTATTGATAACCAGGCATTTGTCGCCGGGCCTAGTTAGCCGGGTTGGATGCTCTTGTCAACTACTCATCACAACTCCCGTTCCTGCCACTGACGTAGATTGTCGCTTTTCGTCTACCATGCTTGTTAACAGGGAAATCGCTCACTCATTGTCAATGTATACACTCACACTTCAATAGCAGCGATGTCGTCTACCACGACAAGCAATCCGGTGCTGATCACTGAGCCAAGATGGCCGAGGCCGGGATCAGCCATCACAGTCCAGAGAAGCAGGTTCTAACAATGTTAGTGAGACATAGGGCTGACGTTTGAAAACTTGCAGTAACGTGTCTACATCATGGGGATGTTAATATAAGTCCCAGATATATCAATCCAGTGTAATTAGGATAATTACGTAATGTGAGTGACACTGCAAAATGCAATTTCAAAAACTTACGTTTTTCCACTGTCATTTATACATTAAAACCGGCAATCTAAATGTGTTAGTCAAGAATTTCATGGCAGTGTTGAGGTGTTGAGTGAACAAGTATGGCTGGTATATAAAAGTCCAGAAAAAGTTCAGTTTCATTCAGTATTCACTGTCAAGAACAAAGAAGTGATTCTGGACATGAAATAAACCCTAGAATGAAACCTTCCTCAGAATGTTCTTTAACGTTCTTATCGTGAAACCTTCAGTGGGATAGTTAATTACATATTTATACCAGACTTAGCAGCATGAACAAAGGGATCATCAGCTGAACAGACTTAGTGCGTAAAGAAGTCCAGGGCTTGCTCAAGCATACATTCTATTAGTGATTGTCATTGACCTACACATTCGTGACCACTCATATCTTCCCTAGCCGAAGGACGATCTGTTTCCCTCACGCAGCCATTTCAAAGACTGGGTTCCGTCTTTCTAGCTGTTGAGCATGTGGCCCAGTTCTCTTGTATGACTATTTTCGGAATAACAAGGTTGATGCGCGAATTTTGCTCAAAAGTAAATAAAAATAAAATAAAAAAATAAAATAAAATAAAATAAAATAAAATAAAATAAAATAAAATAAAATAAAATAAAATAAAATAAAATAAAATAAAATAAATAATAATAATAATAATAAAAATAAAAAAATAAATAAATAAAAATAATAAAAATAATAATAATGTTGGGGTTGAAAGGATCAATTGCTGGTTCAGAAAATGATCCTTGAAGAGGCTAAAACTTACCACCGTAACCTCTCAATGTGGTGGATAGACTACAGAAAAGCTTATGATTCTGTACCTCAAGAATGGATTTTGAAATCACTGGAATGTATTGACTTACCCGAGCGACTACTTGCTTTATTCAAGTCTTTAATGAATTGCTGGTCAACTCAACTTGAGATGTATTCGCAGGGGCAGGTGGTGACTTCGGAACCCATTTCTATTAGAAGAGAAATATTTCAGGGCGATTCTTTCAGTCCTTTGCTTCTCTGTTTGTCATTAAATCCTTTAAGCTTTTTGCAAAGCAAAGAGGAAGATTATCATCCTGGACCTCCTCAGCAGAGATCTCAAACATCTCTAACTCATCTTCTTTACATGGATGACCTTGAACTTGTTGCCAATGGAGGATCAACACTCAAAAAACAGATTCTCCTTGTCGAATCCTTTTCTGATATCGGCATGTCCTTTGGACTCGACAAATGCAACATTCTTCATCTGAAACGCGGCAAGGTAGAAGAGGGAGGGTCAGTCAGTTTACTTGGAGGAGGTGTTATAGACCATCTCGTGGAAGGTCAGGCCTATACGCACTTAGGGATGCAGATTAGGGACAAACTCCAGAATGCCCATATCAAGGAAAAACTTCGGGCAGAGTACAAATGTCGACTTAAGAAAATCTGGAGTTCAGAGCTGAACGCTCGGAATAAAGTCAAAGCCACAAATACTTATTCTGTACTCGTCCTTCATATTCTTTTGGTGTTGTTGATTGGACGAAACAAGAAATTCAGGGTATTGAGACCCTCACACGAAGAATCATGTCAGACAATAGATCCCACCACCCTCGCTCTTCCCTCAATCGCTTATATTTACCAATCATTATGGGAGGACGTGGTTTGATTAACGTTGGGGCTCTTCATGATAGAATTGTTTTGTGCACTTTTGCACACATTTATTTGTCCGATGATCCTCTTTTGAAGCATGCCAAGACTCATGATGAAAACAAGGCATTCCACAGTTTTATAAAACGAGCCAAGGATGTGGGACATAATCTCAATGTCGGTGTTGATTGTGTTGATGGTTCTGTACTGCTGGACGGTACAGAAATGAGTGTCAACCAAGCGAAGTGCCATATCAAGTCGGTCCCGACTCAGGCTTTAAAGGAGAGGCTTTCTGAACGACCACTGCATCGGTTTTATGTGCAGTGTGTTGAGAAGATTAGCGATCCTGCAGAGTCCTTCGCTTGGATGAAATCGGCTGGCATGAAAAGTGGAACAGAAGGCTTTCTGTTTGCTGCTCAGGACCAGTCACTTCCCACTCGAAACCGTCAACGTGTGATTTTGCATCAAAATGTGAACATGAAATGTAGATTATGGAATGAATTTAATGAGACTGTCCAACACATTGTCAGTGGATGCCTAGCTTTGGCACAGACACAGTATCTTAAGCGACATGATGGGGTGGCTCGATCATTTTATTACCGTCTTCGCCATGCTTGTGGTTTTGTCACAGAGGTCCACCCATGGTACGCCCCGGAATATGTAGAGGGCGTCATGGAAAATGATGAATACAAAATTCTTTGGAATAGGCCCGTTTACAGCCTCAGACATATCCAGTCCAACAAACCTTATCTTGTCGTTTTTGATAAATCCAATGAAATCATTTATATCATTGAATTTTCTGTCCCTTTTGACAGCAATGTGATTGACAAGATAGGGGAAAAGCATGGCAAATATGCTTTTGATGTGTCACGCTTACATCTTTTGACACTTTTGTGATTGACAAAATTCAAAACATGGCAAATATGCGGACCTCTCTTTCGAAATGTCACGCTTGCATCCCAAGTACCAAGTTGTCCGACTCCCCATTGTTCTGGGTGCCCTAGGTTTGGTACCTCCCAATCTGTTGACTGACATCGGGAGAATACCCGGGTTTGCTACCAGGAATACAACCCTTCTGACCATCTGGGTAATGCAGGAGGCTGCAGTGTTGGGGAGTTTTCACATTCTCCGAATAGTTCTGGGTTGGTTTGACTAGGTAGCGCTTCCTGGGAGAAGTCCCATTCGCTGTCAGGGCTGCGTGTAGAGGAGGCAAGGGCCCTGAGCTGATGATGAGCCTAACCAGCCTGACTGTGCCAGGATCACCCAAACCCTCTTTGCTGCATTTTTTATTTTAATCTGTAAAGACCAGCTTGTTTGAATCGGTTTATTGGTCAACAAAACAAACCAGAAAACAAAAGAAAATGACGTATTCAAATCATATGACATCATCAAACAATTGATGAGGTCACGTGTTTTCCCAAAACGATTTTCATGGTAAAGTTTGTAATTCGCTATCAATGATTGCCATGGTGTAAACTTAGCCTTAATTTAGCTTTTAATCTGTAAAATGTCATGTTATTCTGAGTCCTTATCAGGCCTGTATATAGAAATAGGCAGATATAGTTTGACACATGTCATGAGTAATCATTAACAGGTTGTAATGCCCTCGTTAGCGGGAACATCTAACCTTAAGTGTCTCGTGGACATTTTAGATATAAAGTTCACAAACGTTTACAGTGAGTGAGTGAGTTGGGTTTAACGCCGCTTTTATCAGTATTCCACTTATTTCACGGCGTGTCAGCTTAATGTGGGAGGAAAGCCCGAAGTGATGCAGGTCTCAAACGTTTACCACTTCGGTGAAACACACGAGCACGGGTATGGTGCTGACAAACCCTGAAACATAATTGGGGCGAACCGGGATTCGAACCCACAATCATAGGTTTCTGGCGTGCCCAAGGGACGCAACTCGCGAATCGCGGCGCCTTAGACGACTTGGCCAGCCGTGCCCCCCACAAAAGTTTGCAACAGAGGGACAGCATGCCAAGAATTAAAACCCGGGAATAAAAGGCCACGACAGCTTATGAACTCGCCAACTCACCCAATAGTTTTTATTTTAAACGTCACACTTATCCACAACAGATCGCCAGACAGTATATTGCAATTGAATTCTTTAACTTTTTCAAGGCTGATCGCCTGGCCGAAATTCTGTGACTCGTTATGTACCAAAAGGTACTTTTACAGTATAATGTCCCGCTTGGTTTAGTTCTTACGTTTGACACAACAGAAGTGAACAGTTCTTGAAATCCATCAAAGAGGATAGCTTGAAGTGTTTGGTGTCAATACTTCGATCAAGTGAGTGCGCTAACTCAGATCAACCTAAAGCTTCAGCATTCTGAAGGCCGACATCGAGGACTCTTTCCAAACGCTTCTTTATCTTAAAACTAGGTATATATTATCTTTCTATTTTTAGCGTCACTGTGCGTTTCTACACAAATGTCCAAACTTGCAGTTACAACAATTGTGTCTTGTTCAAAATCAAGTTATTGAGGTCACGTGTTTCTGTAGGTGCTCCAGCCCTTGGGTATAGCTCAATGCATTCCGGTACATCGCAATGCCCACAGCTGTGACACAATCGAGCAGCACAGTGTCAGCGTTATTGATGTCTGCTCCTACATGGATACTTTGATCAGAGATGTACGCCAGGTGAAGTAAACAGTTGATCTCGTAAACCTTTGAAACGTTCCCTAATTCGTGTACAGCTGTTTTGTGCAATAACGTCGTAGATGATGCATTTGGTCTACGGTTACTACGTTGCCTTGGTAAACGTGTAAACAACGCCGCTGAATGGAGGGACGCTAAACGGTTATACCAACCAGCGTTACAGTGAACGCAAACGAGTCGACCCACCAATGAATTTAGGAACGTTCAACGACAACGTCTACCACAGTCACAGTGAAAGTAAAAGCGTAGACATCGCCTCTCAATTCAGAATCAGCCAACGACAACGTATACCACAGTTACAGTGAAAGTAAAAGCGTAGACAACGCCGCTCAATTCAGAATCAGCCAACGACAACGTATACCACAGTTACAGTGAAAGTAAAAGCGTAGACAACGCCGCTCAATTCAGAATCAGTCAACGACAACGTCTACCACAGTTACAGTGAAAGTAAAAGCGTAGACAACGCCGCTCAATTCAGAATCAGCCAACGACAACGTCTACCACAGTTACAGTGAAAGTAAAAGCGTAGACATCGCCGCTCAATTCAGAAACAGTCAACGACAACGTCTACCACAGTTACAGTGAAAGTAAAAGAGTAGACAACGCCGCTCAATTCAGGAAAGTTCGACACTACGTCTAGCGCCGTTTAAGTAAAAGCAAGCGAGACATCGACATCGCCTCTGAATTCATGGTCGTTCGATAACTTCGCCCGCCACCGTTACCGTGAAGAGACAGCGAGCACAGAAGGCACGTTCTTCATGCATCACACACGGGCGTAGAGGTAACAACTGATCCCGCCCCCATGGGAGTGATCATCAGATGAAGGGATGTTATTTAGCAAGATCCTTGCTGACATTACATGCCACCAGATCCGTCCTTTCTCTGCTGTACCGGACTGAGCTCAACACCGAGCAAATCTCTGGAGACATCCTGATACAATAACGTTTACGGTAAGAGTGATTAACTATTTCGTCTATTGCGACATTGCTTTTTACTGTGTATTAAGAATATTCATTTGATTTAGACTCCCTATTAGATTTGCGATTAACAACTATTGCGTATGGGCATCTTCTAGTGCCGCAATGTACCTGTTTGGTAACCTCCCTAAGTCAACGTTCGATTTGTCTTATAATCAGTCTTGAAGAAAGAAGAAATCAATTATTTTTCAGATTCTAATAATCCCTATACAGTAAACTACGGTTATAACGAACACGCTTATCACGAACTGACGGATATAACGAACTAACTTTTTTAGTCCCGACTATTTGTTGTAGTTATGCTGTATATATGCTTATAACGAATTACGGTTATAGCGAACTAAAATTAGTAGTCCCTTTGTAGTCGTTATAACCGTAGTTTACTGTATATTTCGAAAATTAGTCTTCCGATCGCGATTTACTAAGTTTGTTTGTTTGTTGTTGTTTATCGCCGCATATTTCAGCTATATTGAAAGCGATCTGTAAATAATCGAGTCTGAACAAGACAATCCAGTGATTGACGTCATGAGCATCGATCTGAGAAATTGGGCTTCGATGACATGCATCAACCGTGTCAGCGAGCCCGACCCCCCGATCCCGCTAGTCGTCTCTTACAACAAGCATGGATTAATGAAAATCAATTCTTACACGGATCTTCACGGGTCGATTTATTAAATGACGTATGTAATTGCTGCTATTTGATTATAACAAATTAGACACGTAACTTAAAAACGGGAATAACTTCAATGTGAATTTAAGGATAATATATCCTGTAACGAAAACCAATATTACTGAAAGGTTCAGACAAACATAGCTTGAAAAAATAATAGGTATATAGAGCTTTTCTTTTGAAATTTTTTATGGAGGTATGTGCCTATCGCAAGGATGCATTGTGGTTTACATAAAATTAACTTGGTTGATTCATGTCATCGATCCCAATTGCGTTGATCGATGCTCATGATGTCAATCACTGGATTGTCTGGTCCAGACTCGATTATTTACAGAATACCGTCATATAGCTGGAATATTGCTGCGTGCCAACCAACCAACATAAAAATAATGGGTTTTTTTCTGTACAGAAACTTAAAGCACGGCTTCAATATTTTGGTGGTATTTTCTGTTTACCGATTTTAGCAGTTGGAGTATTATCGACACATGCACACTGGGCTATGTTAACTTTGTTATTCATGATTCCGTGCTTTGGAACTGATATAATTTCTAGTCATTGGCAATGTGTCTGAAAACGTTCCCCGCCTGGGACATCACAGTCCAATCAACCAACTGAATATTTCAACCCTTCTGCAGGAAGTCGACTGGCTGGCACTGGCTCGGTACGTGGTGACAGTATAGCCTCATAGAAGGGACTATTGCGTCAGTTAATCCTGTCGGCTTGGGACCTGTCTGTATTAAGTAATAGTGTTCTTTAGATAAACATTTTTCGACTGAAGCAACTGGAGATTTTTCCATGGCCTAAATATACAGTTTCGTATCGGTATCTTCGACTCGGTGTTCTTTTGTGGCCTATATAACGATATGTCATGTTTTCTTACTTTTAACTCTTGCGTAGTAAGCGACAGTATGAGAAAACATCGGTGTGTAGAATAATAATATTTTCCCATCTCCTACGCTGAATTTTTCAATCGAGCTGAGAATGTCTTAGGTAGACAATATTATTTCAGTTACCGCAGATGAAGCGTTGCACTCACTGACATATGACCAAGGCAGAGTGAACATGGACAATTTGGAAGTTGAGTTCTACAACTTTTGTATTACGTATTTGTTGTTAAAAGCAGAATGAAATGCCATTTATAGAGAAAGGGCCGCCTCCGTGGTCTTGTTGTAGAGCGTCCGCCCAGAGAGCGGAAGGTCCGGGGTTCGATCCCCGGCCGCGTCATACCAAAAAGACGTTAAAAGATTGTACTTGTTGTTACCCTGTCTGGCGCTCGGCATTAAGGGGCTAAAACAAGGACTGGTCGGCTCGGAGTCAGTATACTATGTCTGAGTGGGGTATTCATGTAAAAACTGCGGCATGGTATCTCAGTGTGCTAGCACCATAAATCGGCATCAGTCCGGACTAGTACAAGCAGCCACACACACACACACACACACACGTGCATGCACGTCGCTATATAAGTGCAATAATCTTGACTGCGACGTTAAACCCCATTTCACCTCACCTTATAGAAAAAGCAAAGGACATTAACTTTAACATAAATACCTTGTAACAAATCCGACTAAACTGATTCAATATTAGATCAATCAAGAAAAGTAAAGTTAATTAACAAAGCAAACATGTCATATACGCAGTTATAGGTGGACCCGTATGCATCGTGCAGATCACAAATCAGTTGAGTAACGTTGGTGGCGGAGAGTGGTTGGATGGGCGACCGCGTTCGGGTGTTTCTTATTTATCAGTCCTGGACCACACAGACGCTTGTCTCCTTGGGCAAGTGGCTTTGTTCAATATATGCCTCTGTTCACCCAGCAGTGAATGGATGCTCGAAACATAATGTGTCTGTTGCACTTCTATAACGTCTATTAGGCAGCTGGGGTTGTATACTTCAAAGGGAGCTGAGAATGGATGCACGTTATTATTATACTGCTTTTAATTAATAAAACGAAACTGTAAGATGTAATCGGAAATTAATGAAATTTAATATAATTCTGACTGTTGTCATATTTACCATAATAGCTACCCTTGTAGCACGGGATCATAGCTAAGTAGTCAGTGAAAGATACGTTTATATCAGACCGAAAATTTGGTTGGGTGAATATGTAACTGACTGTATATTTGTCAATAATCAATGTTTACTACTATGTACTAAAGTTATCCACGTACAATGTCAGACGTAAAAAAAGTATCACAAGAAAGTACTGCTCAGGATATTAAATATTTTAGACATTTTCGTACTGACGAAATACAATATTTATATCAAATCCGAAAACAAATAGCCATGCCCTTAAACTGGCGCGTTGGTCCTCAGACTTTGGGCCACATCGTAAGTCTAGCTACTCACTAGGACGCACTAAGGAAGCTGTGTGACACGTTGTCTTGCATCTAATAACACCAGTAGTGTGCACGTGTGAGATGATTGAACATGTTGAATAAAGTGATAATTCCCTTTCCAAAATGAAATTAAATCTCCACTAAAATCAGACTCCCTTGTACGATTCCGCCTATATCATGTGCATGTGTTTCATGTGATTTATGAATCACTATCACAGTGATTATATCAGGTGTTCGTGAAAAGGTGAGCGTACACCCTGCCCCACCGGTGCCACCCGTCACAAACACATGCAAAGGCAAATAAATTGTCCACCTGAAAAACAAAGCAACGCCATTTCCCACACGAGTGAGTGAAAGTTGTTTTACGCTGAAGTCAGCCATTTGCAAGCCTTATCATGACTGCCTGGGAATATCTTTGAGCAATCAGGCGAGTGTTTTTACTTGATAAAAAACCAAATAGGGAATTGAATCGGACATCATGTTTGTCACGAAAGTCCATACTTGTCCATACACGTAGTATGTGTACAACATGCTACGGTAAAACCAGTCATCTTCCGTGTGATTATAATGGAAGTAAAATCGATGTCATGTACATTTCCAATAGATCCCCGTAATTATGTTTCTCTTTCAAAGGTTCATCATGTTCTAGTAATTAAAACGTTACCATCATATATGTTTTTAACCTGTCGACAATCTACTCTGTGATCTGATTTAGTGGTCTCTCGATGATACTGATGTAGACCATTTCCATCCCATTGTTGATGTACCTGTCTTTCTTTCTACGTCAAACGCCTTCAAGTAGTCATGTGGAAGAAAGCACCCAATCTCGTTTACTTTGATTTGATTAGAAAGCGAGCGTCTTTCTACCTGTACAACATTAGGTCTAATCTGGCATACTCTTGTTTGACCGGTGCGTCTCTGGGGACATTCAAAACAATAAACCTTTCCGTGTAAACGTCAAATGATGGAGCTTTGAGTCCTCTGGTTCTTTCTTCTACCATGTGCTTTGTAATGCAACGAGTACATTACATTTGAAGCGAACTGATGTTTCAAATCAACTGTCGTCTTATTAGAAGGTATGCTTGGACAAGTTGGCGCTGAAAAAACGGTTGTTTTTTGTGTTTACTGTCAAGGGTACAATAAATGTAAGTTAATCAATTTTAAGTCAATTAATCTGCATACTCAGATGAAACACGTGTGTTGTATCAACTTTTTCCAATGCAGTTCCGTGACATTTGTGTCCTGTGAATCTGAACATTGTCGTTTAGTTGTTATTAAAGAGTTCAGTTTTTATTGGAGATTATCTTGTTATGATAGATGTTATCAAAGATTCAATTTAAGCAGTCACAAAGGGAATACTATGTTACTTAACTGTCAGGCAAAAGAAAGTCTACATCAATTTTTGAAGGTGGTTAAAAAGAAACAAAAAAGTAATGGTTATTTGATGGTGGCGTATTTCATACAAGTATCACAGTTGTGTTTTAGGCCTCGTTTGCTGAGTTCCAGGGACTGTTTTCAGCCTAGTAAAAGTTTGATAAACGATTGTACTTTTTTGGTCAAATCCAATTTTCAAATGTATACTTTCTTTTGCCCGGTAGTGTTTATTGGTAGCATACGATTGGGAGATTTTTAAGTGAACGTCGCATCGGCAATATCCAAGCTGTAAGTTGGGGTAAGTTATAACAGCTGGTTTCATACTTGTGTTGCAATACAGAAAATGTGTTGCATTTATTTATTCCGTTTCTATGGGCGGGGAGTCATCGTACACATTTTCCACTGGAGGCCCAGTCATCTAAGACGCCGCATTTAGCTTTACAGAGTTTTCACCCTTTGGCGTACCAGAAACCTAATAGTATGATCGTGCGAACGAATCTCAGCTTTCCTCCCACGTAAGTATGTAACTAATTACTCAAGTCGCGTTAAATCAACCTCACTCTTCCAATAGACGACAGACCTAGAACCATCT